AAGAAGAAGAAGAAGAAGAAGAAGAAGAAGAAGAAGAAGAAGAAGAAGAAGAAGAAGAAGAAGAAGAAGAAGAAGAAGAAGAAGTAGTAGTATGGAATCCAATCCAGAACCTTTGGCAGCTGTCACAACATTATCCTAGTGTTTCTTTTGATATTCTCGTTTCCCCAGTGCACCCAAGCCACACCCCTCCCTCTCCCATTCCAGTGTCTGTTTGGTGATTCTTTGCCTGCTTCACCTCAGGATGTGCCAAGTGTATCAGTATATTGTTTGCTTTGTACGTACTAATACCAGCTTCTGTCTAGCCTCTTTTCTGATTTCTGGAAATTGTCCTACGTCTTCTGTTTTTTTTTTTTTTTTATTCCTTGTCTTCTTCTTCTTCCTCTCCACCTTCTTCTTCTGCTAGATGTTTTTCTTCGTTCATAACACGGTAATTAATTTGTGCCCCCTTACAGAAGATCTGCAATATGTGTGCCTTTTAGTCGATACATCTGACTTCTCCAGGCATGAATTTCCAGTATAGCCTTCTTTATTAGTTTCCTGGTACATTAAAGAGACTCATTGGGGCTTGTTAATCCACAAGCGTTGCCTCCTGGTAGACCGGTTTAGAGCAGCCATGTGATATTGGTTATCCCGCAAGAAAATGTAGGAGCAGAACATGAGTAGCCAAGGGGGCTTCCGTAAATGCAGAACCAGAACACGGTGCTCTGGTACTGGGGCCGCGTTAGCGCAGTCGATAAGAGGCTCGCTTTCAAATCCAGCTGCGACTCGCTGCAGCCACGGTGGGTGTTCAAAACCGGGCGGCTCCCGGGGTTCACCCAGCCTCTAGGAAATGGGTACCAGAGTGATACTCTGGGGTAAATGGAGGAACGTCGCTGTAGCTACAGAGCTACGTGCCAACGGCGACACAATCGGATAATTCTTATCAGCTGTCCGTACTGGTGGCAGAGCAATTATGGTTTATAACCGGGTGCAATGATGCTGGTTCACATCTCCCGACTTTACCTTACTTTTACTTTACCTTGGGCTTACCAAAGGGATCGTCACGTTCTGCACATGGCTGTGTGACCTCACTTTTTAACATCGAGCACCTTATTCTCAGACCATCAGTGATGAAGAGGAAGAAACTATTTTACTGCTCTTAGAATTTTGCCGCCCCAAAATGTGGCCACCCTGTGCAGCTGCACATGACCTAAATCAAGTCCCGTTTATGAGTCTTCTTTTCTTTTTCTTCTTCTTCTTCTTCTTCTACTTCATCTTTACGTCCTCTTTTACCGTTTCGGGTGTCGAGGGAGATATAATGTCCCGCTCTGTGCTCTTCTGGCGGCTTCGACCATAGACACATCCTGGTGCTGTAGAGTTTCTCTGATTTTATCTTTCTATCTTGTTCTACCTCTTGCTCTAAGTCCCTCTCCTCTTTTAGTATATGCCTTGTAAGGGACTAACAGTTTGCATACATATAAGTCAGATCTTAGTATAGCATCAGAAAGCATTCTCTCCAAGTGAGCAAAGCATTTAATTTGCTGTTTGTGTTTGTAATTTAGAATTGGTTCTGTGCCGACGTTATCTTGTATGACCCCATTCCTGATTTTACCATTTGTGGTCACTTCTACCGTCTTTTTCAGACAACCTCATTTCCATAGTTACTAATTTTCTTTTATGTTTTGCTGTGAGTGACCACGTCTGGCACTGGAAGCATAGGTTTATGAGTCACCCTTCTGTAATCTGCCGCTCCTGGAAAATACCATTATGTGATCGCTTGAGCATGTATCAGTTTCTGGCTATCAGACGCACAGATCTGATTGTTGGATTTGTACTGTATGGGGACAATACCAATTTCTACGCTTGAACAGTTGATGAGAATGCAGAACCATATATGGGCGCTGTGAATCCTGGACAATCGGTAGACAGGCCAAACAATTTCTTGAGGCCTCAGAGATGTGGTTATACAGAGGAATGCTTAGAATACCTTGAACAGCCAAAAAGAGCAACCAAGAGGTTTTGAAAGAGGCGGGAGCCCGAAGACAACTTATCACAGACATCAGAAGGAGACAGTCATCATTTTTCGGCCATGTTATGAGAAGAGGGAAAATAGAACATGTTGTGACCACTATAAAGATCTGTGGAAGGAGGAATAGAGGACGACAACGAGAGAAGATGCTTGACAGTCTTGTTGTATGGCATGGAGGTGTGTCGGCACAACAACTAATTCATGCTGCAGGAGATTGCAGATTGTGGAGAGGCACGATCGCCCACGCCAGTCGGCAAGGCACCTGATGATGATATCGGCACGTTCAGAGTGCAACGATACATAGTTATTCAGTCAATATCTCTACAGTTTTTCCAACTTTTTGAAAAAGGACACACACACCAAGCCAACAAACATTACGCACGTCCACAGACAAAAACACACACACTTATACATATTTGATTAATGTTTCTTCTTTTTCTTTGTTTCTTTTTTTGCCTGTAAAAACACAGTTGACAAGCTGGGTTGTGGTTTAAATCTATTTTTTTTTTTTTTTTTGTTGTTGTTGAAACTTTTGCTTGCGTGTATAAAAAAAAAAAAAAAAACGATGTACACATACTGTGATATTTCACTTTTTTGTTTTAATCCAGTGCCACCAGTGACATTAGTTGCTTTCTACTTTTCCCATCATGATATAAAAATTTAAAAATTTGTGGTGTTACATCTAGGTTGCAATATCTGCAGTTTTAAACACAACAGATCCGAACTTAGCAAAACCTGCATTAACAGCTTTTACATGCCTGTTGAGTGGCATAGTGAGTTTTTTTTTAACCCCATAAATGGGATCCCATAATCCACGGGGGGGGGGGGGGGGTATTTATTTAGGCAATCATTGCTGTTAGATTTAATTATTTCTACAGCTAGTCAGTTGTAGGTTATACCGGTAACTTGTTTTTGTGAAGAAAATGAAACCAGGAAAGTGGTCAGTTTCAAAGTTGTCCGTGTCCCCTCCCCTTCATGGTGTTGGACAATGAATTAGCGAACAAGCGACGGAGGAAACGTGAACAACATAAATCTTAAAACACAAAAAACATAAACCTTAAAGAAAAGTCTAGAGGCGCCGAAACTGGGAGGTGAGCACTTTGAGGTCATTTCTCCCGTCCCCCAATATTTTAATGGTTGCATGCCCCTAATCCCATAATTTTTATAGAGCATAAACACCCCCCCCCCCTCCCCCTCTCCATCTCCGTGTAGAGTCCTCTTTTTAACCATATGTTCACAGATTTCATAGTATTTAAACATATTATATTGCATGTGTATTTACTTGCCATTAAGCACACAATAATAGTAATTATGATTATCATTAATAAGTAATTAACAAGGCTTAGGCCTCATTGAGAACCTCCCCACCTCTATAAAATTATAGAGTGGCTGGGGTTCCCACTCAATGTTTTCTTTGTGGCGGCGGGCTTTTGGGAGACCATATGTGCGATACTGAACATTGAGGTAGTTTCGTCCTAATATGTTTTTCCTTTGCAAAACACTAGTAATGGTAATGTTTATTCAAATCCCTCTAGTTTTATTTATTAAAAATAAAAACGAATCAAGCTTAGAATAAGGCACAGCTGTTTAATTCTGATACACCTAGCTGCAGACGATTTGGTGACAGACAACTTTACATTGATGTCAGTCAGTGTGTTTCAATACTTAAGATCTCATTGTAGGTTATATGCCCTATTGGGGAAGGGGGGGGGGGGGAGGGAGAACAAACCTACTGCTCCCATAAAATTGCATGTCATAAGAGTCAGCTAACTAGGAGTGATTCCTTCTGTCAGAAGGAGAGGTAGGGACCAACAGTTTGCATACAAATAAGTCAGATCTGTAAAATGGATGTGCATGTAAAACTCAGGTTCACGAACAAGACTAAAGTCTGAAAGTGGATGAACAACCAGAACTTTCCACTGGCGGTTAAATATGGTGAATGAGATGAAGATAATTAAGAAAGCAAGGGAAAATATATATCTAGTAAAATCACAAACGACTAATACGCTGTCGTTGGCTTGCAAAAAATGCCTTTATTCTTATTTCTCCAATTAAAGAGCAAAGACATTTCCAATTAACAAAATAGACACATTTAGATTTGATACAACTTGTTTCTCCTGCCTTGGGTATAATTATCATCTTTACTTCTTATTTTTTGTTTTAAAAATAATTGTCTTTTCTTGTTTTTATTTTTTTTTTTATTTTCCATGATTATTGTTTGCAAACTGGGGTGCCAGTGTTCTTTGTTTTTTTATTAACTGGAACTTCCTTCAAATGATTTCAGACCTTCAATAATTCATCTTGTTGCTTTGTGATCTGGCATTTTTTAAATGTATTCACTGCATCTTATATTTTTTTTCTCCTGCCCAACGAATGAGAGGGATGTTTTCCTTTTCTTTATCCCAGGTTAGATTAACACTGTTGTGACTGAAAAAAGTAATTTTCTGGCGTTTACAGGTTTTTGAAGATATGGAGTCTTCGGCCAAAAGACACTGCATTCAGTTAACAGGTTAGGTACTGGCTGCAACAGCACAGTGTGTAGACATTGATGATATGATTATATTTACTTCTTCTTTTCTTCTTCTTCTGCATTCTGAACCCTTGAGGTTCATTGCTGCAGATATCACCCGCCTCCATTCATCTCTCTGGCAGGCCTTCTCTTTCTAGTTGGTGATACTAAGTGTGTAAAGTGGGCTTTCTATATAATATCTCTCCATCATCTTCTTGGTCTAACTAGTGGTCATTTTCATTAAATTTGACAAAGATTCCAGTATATTTCTTCTGCTTCTGCTTCTTCTTCTCTTCCTCTAGTGTGTTAGGGCAGAGTTTAACAGAATTGTAAGAATGTATTTCTTTTTAAAAGATTTGGAAAAAAGGTCACGTTTTAAAATTCTTAGAGGGTGAAAGAATTAATATATATAAACAAAATAAAAATTTAACAAATAAGAAATAAGGCTACATATACTAAAATGAATAGTTCCTTCATGAATGTTCACTTGAGTAGTTCAAGAATAGACTTCCCTAGTTTTGTTGATGATGCTGGGTTTTGTCCTGTGATCAGTCTCCCATCAACCTGCAATAGAACACAGTATGTGTAAAACCATATTTTGTGGTAGCATCAAATTAAATATCTTCATGATGTTATCCATATTCTTCTCAAAATTTAGATTTTCTCCGCTATCATTCTTCACCACTCAATTACATATCCTTTAGAATTTGAATCCATACCCACGAATTCCAGGGCGCTAGTTTGGGAGAACAAAAAAGAATAGGCCAGTGACCCATATATATGTCTTCAAAGTGTCTTGCTGTGGCAGTTGTTACCAGGGTATTCTTGTCAGATGGCCAAATCATCTCATCTGTTGTCCGCAAATGTATGCACTTGTATGTTATTTCTGTATTTTATTCCCCTCATAAAATTGTCATTCTTGTAAAACACTCATTGTTTCATTTCTGTTATCTCTTATCACATCTTTTATCAGGTGTCATTGTTGGAGGTCTCTTTGGTGAAGAGTTCAAGTTGTTTGTCCTGTGCTCTGAAGGTCATAGGTTCGTTTCAGAACTGTATCATTCGGTTCAAGAGTGCAGTTGTTACAGAAATCCCTGTTGATCATAGCTGAAGCTACAGTGTTCATAATGTGTGCAGTGTTTGTGGCAGACAGCCCCTTCTGTGGACAGAGACGGAACCACATGGGATAAAGCCTAGTGCAATGAGATCCTCTCAACTTCAACATTGTTGTGCCTAGAAATTGAAAGCAACTACCTTTTTATGTGCACCCCATTACTATATAAAAACTGAACAGGAGCTACAGTAGCATAGTGGCCACATCACTTGTTCTCAACCCATGGGTCGAGACATCATTTGGTGTCACAAATGATTTTTAGATAGGTCGCCCAGCATTGGAGAAATTATGAAAATGTTAAATAGGGACAAAAAATCATGTGAGCACCTTCACCACAGAGATTTGTTTGTGAAATGCGGATGCTGCTCAGTTTGTGATTGGTCAATTCCTAGTAAAACATTTTTGATGTGTTTTCATTCATTCTATTAAAAAGCCATTTTAATCTTATTCTTCTTCTTCTTCACATTCACCGGCTGTAAACTCCTGTGGAAAGTTCTGGTTATTCATCCACTTCTAGAACGTGTAAATACCGTTTACCTTTGAGCCAGAAAAGAAATTCATACACATCCAAAAAATGACATTAAAAATAATTCTACCAACTTACAACCACATGCTCTTGCCAGTTGTCTGCCTTGCTGAAAGTGGCCCCAAGCTCTTCTAGCCTGGTCTCCAGCATAAAGGGCATATACTTGCTCAGGTCAACAGCATCCTCTTCAGCATTTGTAAAACTGGTCACTTTTTTGCCTTTAACAAGTGGGTCACCATTTGACAGCTTTACTGGAACCAAACCTGGTTTGAGAATTGTGTATAACTCATTTAGGAATAATTTATGTTGAAAGATTTATAAAAATCTGGTCTCAGCGTGTGTCTTCCCAGTGATACATATGTTCTTGATTTCATGCTGGGTGGGTGACAGTGGTGTTGTTGGGTGGGTGGTGTGAGTGGGTGATGGTGATGTTAGGTGGATGTGAAAATTCCATAAGATGATTAAGGATCTCTGTATGGAGGAGGGAGGTAGAAGATGAAGAGGATGAAAAGGAGGTAGCAGTTCATTTACAAAACATAAAAAAAAATAATAAAAAAATAAGATGGTGATTAAAATAATTAAGTAATCTTGAATCTTGAAAGTTCTCGTTTTTTTTCCCCACTTCTGGACTTTAGTCTTGTTCCAGAACTTGAATTTTGCTGTGGAATCCATTTGACAGTTCTGCTTATTTACATGGTTCCTTGCCTATCAGGTGTATGTACACTGACTTTAAAGGAAACCCCTAATTAGTCAATTCTCGTGACATGATTGTTAGGGAGGCAGTGAGTCTATTCTCCCACCTCCCAAAAAGAACCACAGAATCCACACAGGGATTACAGACTGCAATCCTAGAAGTTACGCTACAAATACACATAACTTACAATTGTATTAAGAATTGACATCATAGAACTCTAGACAGTTACATAAGCTCTCCATCTCTATCTTCAGCAGCAAGTGCAGAGCTTGTATACTGGTGGTACCAGTAGCAATTTGATAGTATGTAATATATAACTGTTATGTAGTATGTTGTATGTAGTATATAACTGTAAGTTAGTATGTTGTATGTAGTTTATAACTGTTATGTAGTAGGTTGTATGTAGTATATAACTGTTATGTAGTATGTTATATATAGTATATAACTGTTATGTAGTATGTTGTATGTAGTATATAACTGCTTTAAATATATATATATATAGTTAGCAACTAAAAAAGTGAAACAATATATAAGTTTACCAGCAGGGCCATGACAAACAGCGGCAACAACTCCCCCCTTCTCATAAACTTCTGCTGTGATCCTAGCAATTTCTGCATCTGTGGCCAAATCAAACATAGGACCATGGCCTCCTGGAAATAAAACAGCTGCATAGTCGCTGGAGATTTAAAAAAAAATTTATTAAGGACATTTCTGAACAGGAGCATAGACACAAAGAAAGCATAAATGAGGAAGCTTTCAGCTGCTTTAGAAGTGTTGTAGAGGAGAGTGGAAAGGTAGAGGAGGGGTAGCAGTCTGATTTGAGTACATAATAATAATAAAAACAGTAACAACAACTGTAATAATTAATATTAATACTAATGTGCTGAAAGCTAAATAAATATAATAATAATCTGAAATAATATGAAATATTTAAGCAAGTAATTTAAAAAAAAAAATGGAACTTATGTAAATGGAGAGGCACCGCTTAACCCATCTGTATATTTTATAAGGAGCTAAAACTGTAAATGCCCCCTCCCCCTTAGTCCATTTTCTTGGGGGGGGGGGGGGGAGGGAGGAGGGAGGACCTAAGCCCCTTGGGTTCCATGCCCCTATTTCTGCTGCATATACGAGTGGTTGAGAAGTTGAGACACAGGCAAGACGGCTAAAAATGCAAAATAAGATAGAAGAAGATTGAGAATGAGAAAGGCAACGACAACAACGAAGAAGAATAAACAAAATCGGCAGATGAATAAAAGGTTGATATCACAAGGAAAATTAAAATTTTTAATATTGTAGAATATACTTGTTTACGGGGCAGGAGATCTATAAACCAAACTCCCAAATCGAAATGGGGCCCCGGAACTCACACAGGGACATGGCTCAACAATGGGTTCTTTATTAATATCCTACCCCCAGATGACGTCACAGGACAGTCCAACGTTTTAGAGGGTGGTAAGACTGGGTTTCCCAGCTTTCTGATGCTTTTAACGACCCCAAAACATCGAGAACTGGCCCTAACCCCAACCTACCTACGTCCCACGAGAGAGTGCAGCCTAGGTCCCACGACTGCATGCAGCCTAGTTCCCATGACTACATGCAGCCTATCTACTACCCCCTGAAATATTAGACTGTTCCATGACCTGTGGATCTCCCCTGTTTGAGGTAGGATACTAATATAATAAAGCACCAAATTATGAAATCAGGAGTTCATCTGTTCTAGTGTGGTGCTTGTACACGCAAGTGCAGAAGAGAAAAGGTTATAGTAAAGGTTATGACCATTACACAAGACAAAAGATCTATACACAGCGTGCCTTGACAAGTCTGTGTTTACACCTCAAGGTTACTGTGACATTTCTTCTAGCAGCAGTGCAACCATATGTAGTGCTTAGTTTTCCCGCCCGTGCATGACCCAGGTCAATAAGGGAAACGATTTTGTACAGAGGTAGCTCTGTATGTGATGTGGTTGTGTCGGGGTGGTTGGGGAAAGGGGGAGGGGGGGGCAGGGGGAGGGAATACAGCTACTGCCACCCTAATAAGTATGTTGCAAAAAGTGACTCATCACGGAAGTTTCCAAACTGGGAGTGCATCTGCCTGAGAAATGACGAACCAACAGTTTGCATACAAATAAGCCACATATGTAAAATAAGATGTGCACAGAATACTCTAGTTCTGGAGCAATGACAAAGTCCAAAAATCGATGTAGAACCAGAGGTTCCTGCCTTACATACCGTGATGCTAGGAAGAAGAAGAAGAAGAAGAAGAAGAAGAAGAAGAAGCACAGAAGTATACACTGGAGAAACACGATCATATAGATTGGGTTGCCTTATGATGAAATTTACAGGAACAAAGAGGTAAAAGGAGACAGATAAAGAAAAAAAAAAGGACATTACGAAGAAAAAACATCAAACACAAGTGAATAAGATGGGGATGGGAGGCTTAAAAACATGGAACCAGACAACCAAAGCGACCCAGGGTTCGCTGGGAAGACAACATCTGAAAATCAGTAACTGAGAGAGGAATTGAACTGAACAAACCCGAAACAGGAACTGCTGACAGAGGTGGCGATGTTATCTGGCAAACCTCTACTCCATGGGAGTAGTAAAGTGACTAAGTAACTAAAGGTAAGTCAAGTCAGGAGATGTGAACCAGCGTCATTGCACACTGTTATAAACCATAAGTGCTCTGCCAGCTGATAAGAAATTGTCCGCCTGTGTCCGTTTGCATGTAGCACAGAGACAGAGCACACTCAGGACTGTCCAGAGTGCTGTGATGTCAGTTCTTAATTATTTTTTCTTCTTCTTAGCGTTTATCGGCTGTAGACTCCGGCAGAAAGTTTTGGTTGTTCCTCCACTTCTGGACTTTGGTCTTGTTCTAGAATTTGGGTTTTGCATGTACATTCAGTGTGTGTTTCTTCTTGAGATATCTTGGGAATATAATGTGGCGGTTTCCTGTTGTCTTCCACATCCACATGTGGTATTTTAATTTGTATCATTGACAGTAATTTCTGACTGACAGGACAAGTGGGTGTCCTTCTCTGCCCAAGGTAATGAGAAGAGAGGCATTGGAGAACATCGAGACAATTGGAGAGATCAGTGGAAAGAGGGGTAGAGGCAGATCAAGAGAGATGATGCTGGATGGGCTGAAAAGATGGCATGAAGGGATATCATCAAGAGAGCTGTTTCATGCAATCATGGATCATGATCTGTGGAGATGGATTAGCGCCTAAGCCAGTTGACAGGGCACATGATGATGATGATGATACACATTCAGTGTTACAAATCAGTCTTATTTCTATACAGACTCTTGGTTCCTCATCTTTCAGACGGATAGATACACTTTGACTTCGAAGGAAACCCTCATAATTAGTAATCACATACAAACATCCTTATTAGGGGCAAAGGTCCCTTCCCCCGCCCACAATGGGGCCCTGGACCTAGCACAGTTCCTCTTTAGGATAAAGGAGGAGGGAAAGAAGAAGGAGACAATGATGATAAGGAGGAAAGAAGAAGCAAACAAGGGAACTGATCACCTAATCTCTCATGTCGTGGCCTACATCACGTGCATGTCTAGTATGTCTTACCCCCAAAGACATTAACTGTTAAAATAGTATCTTATCTTTCCTTTAAAGTACCAGGAAATGGTATCCACCATTATACTTTCCAAACTCAAACAACACTGACCTAGCCTTGACCTGGGTGGGAGTTTTCGTATTATTGACCAAAGCCTGGGCCTTAGCGTCTTTCAGAAACCACTGGCAGACAGCGTCATCTTTGAATTGTTCCACGCTAGTCGGGTCCTGTAACCAGACATGTTTTTATGTAGCTACTCTCCCGAGTTATGTATTGGGAAACATAAATATTAATAAAATAAACTAACTAACCATCAAACAAAATATCAACAACTAATTAACCTGTCACTAACCAACCCATTAGTTATTATCCATCAATCCATTAGTCATTATCCAATCAATAAACTTCTATCAAAAAAATCAACCTATCAATAAAAGAGCCATTACAATACTGTGCCATCAACCAGCCAATCGTCTTACTCTTTTTCTTCCACACTCGTCCTCAAAAGTGCGGTTGGAATGCTGTGTTTGGAAATATGTGCCTTTCGGCTCAGCCCATACAATTTTAGCACATCCTTGATACGTCACCACTATTTAAGACATGCTTATCAAGGAGCAGGTTGTCTATTCACCTCCCCCCCTCCCCCAACTTTGGCCTCCAAACTCACACACACACAGGAAGGAAACCGTTAAAAGAAGCAAATACCATACCCCTAACTAACCAACAAACATAACGATAAACTAACGATGTCACCCCTAACTCAAACACTAATAAATAAACCTATCAAACTTTTTCTTCTTCTTAAAGTCCATGCTGTGTGGTGTTGGTATTCATGTCTATCCACAACCTTCTGTCGCATGTACTTTCAATCAAATCTGACACAGAAGATCTTCTTTGCCATGATGTCAAATCGTCCAGCATCTGTTCCCTCGGTCTCCCTCTGCCTCTCTTTCTCGCTAGCTTTTTTGCCATCACGATGTACTCCAGTTTTTTTTCCTTTTCATCACATGACCAACAAATGTAGATTGTTTTTTTTTTTTTCTGATGTGAGCAATCAGTTCTCTTTGTGAGTCAGTTTCTTTCAAGACGTTTTCAGTACTCTTTTTATCTGTCTAGAGTATTCTCATCATTCGTCTATAAAACCACATCTAGGCAGCTTCCAAATAAGTTTTTACTGATTTACTAATTTACCAATCAAACACTAAACAATAAATCAAACAACAATAAAAAAAAAAAAAAAAAAGAAGAAGATATTAGCATGCTAGTAACCAATCAAAGACTAATCAATATAACGACAAACCAATCACTGACAACTAAACAATAAATCAACAGTATCCACTCACCAGAGGAGCTTTCCCACCTTTGGGACTGATACTATCAATGTCGGTGACCCCAGCATCAACCAAAACCTTGTAAGGGTGTGCAAGTTCTGGAAGATACCATCCTGTAGGTTTCCCTGTTGCCGGGAACTTGTCTGCACTGGTAAGGATGACAAGTACTTTCTTTCCCATGTTGCTCTTTTACAAAAAGGCAAACTGTGATTCTGAAAATTAAATACAAAATCTGCAAATATTGTACACCCTCTTCAAAAAAAGAAATCTGGTGTAAAATGATTATTTTATATTAGATTTATAGGAAATTAGGCCTTTTGGGAGATACTAGAAGCCCCATAATCTAATATAAAAGATAAATGAAGTCGTGCTAGTTTCAGTAATAGAATATAAAAGATTAACGAAATCAAAGGGCATGATTCGTTCGTAATTAGTTCGTAGTTAAAGATAACTTTTCACACTTTCAGAAATTTCAGGAAAATATAGCTAAATCTTCTTCTTCTTTTTCTTCTTCTTTTTCGTGTTCACCGGCTGTAAACTCCAGCGGTAAGTTTTTGGTTGTTTGTCCACCTCTGAACTTTAGTCTTGTTTAAGAACCCGAGTATTGTGTGCCCATCCGTTTAACAGATCTGACTTAACTGTTTGCAGATTGTTGGTTCCTTGCCTCTCATGCAGATGCACTCTCACTACGAAGGAAGCTCCCAATTAGTCAACTCTTACAACATGCTATTGGGTCTGCTCTTGTTTTCCCTACAAAGGGAACAGGAACCCACACGGGAAATAACTAGACCAAAGTGACCAACCATCACTTGGCGGGTGATGTGGTCAATCACATCAGCCACCTTTACTTCCTTGGTCTTTTACCTGGTACCCACTTAAGGCTGAGTCGACCTGTGAGTCATTTCTGAAGAAAGCCCAGCACCATCTGGATTTTTGAACAAGACTTTTTGATCCACAGGCGAGCGTCTAACGGCTTCACCACGGTTCCCAGTTCGTGGTTAAGGTTAATAAGAAGCGTGCTGTGATTCATTGCGAACGTCCTAAAAGGACGAGTCCGTTGGGGGATTGATAGAGGTTACCCTAAGTTTCTACAGCTGCAACCCAGATGCTTAAAGTACTTTTCATTAGCTTCCAGACAGTAGGTATTGGAGCCCTCTTCTGTTAGACTCAAAAACTGGGGTTCCTGGGCACAATAAGCTCTCCCCTCCCCCAGTAGTTTATTTGTAGGATGACACCACCCAGCCCTCCTCCACCTCCTCATTCACCCTCCTCGGTATACATTTTCAAGAGGGCTCTAATTTAGGTAAGTAATGTAAAGAACCCTTGTCCATGTCTTCGGGTATATTGGGCACATAGAACCCACGACCTTCCGATCCGCAGGCAAGCCGAAACACGCGTAGACACGATCTCTTCTAAAGTCATTTCTATGAATAAACAGAGGGGGAACCTTTGAAGCCGTTATGAATTAATCTAGTAACAGAAAGTGTATTGATCAGCACTTATAGAAAGAAGTAGAAAGATAGAAGAACAACCTAAAGTATATGCTTTTACATTTTATATTATTTTAAATATATGATTATCATTTTTTGCCATTCAGTACACAATAATATAATAAAAAAAGGCGTTGAGGCACGCCGGCACACACCCCACCCCCTTTTTCAATGGAGGTCTTTATGGCGGTATGCAAAACGTTCTGTGGCCTACATTAGTCCTCTATAAGAAAGAAAACAATCATGTTTTTAAGTGGAAATTCCCCAAGGTTTCGGTGAAATGAACATTAAGGACAAGTGTATATAATTGTGTCGGCTCTGTGGCTAAGTCGATGCGAACAGCTTCTTAATGCCGGGTGCCAGGTTATATCCTAGCTGCGGGCCATGCGCCTTGCGTTGGTTTCGACCGTGGTATCAGGGGGCCGACCGTCTAGTAGCAATGGCAAACTACTGAACGTAAATTTGCCTAGAGAAACCACACAACAGCCAGGGGCTGCTGGGGTTGTTTCTGCAACGTCCTGTAAAGGATACGCAACTAACCTTGTTTATAATTGTGACCTGGCCAGAGCTTGATATTCGCAACGGACACGGAAGGGTGGTGGGGAGAGGATAGAAGAGCGTACTCGTAGTTTTACGACAGAGGCATGAGAGTCGCACTGTAGAAGAGACTGGTGTTTCGCTCACATAATATTAAAAAATGGCAGCAGTTGATGACCTGCTTTCTCTGTTGCGTAGACGGCGCACAATGAGGTTACATGTGGCTGCGTGGCTACAGAACGAATAGCGTCATATAGGTTTGAAAGGTTGGGGGGGGGGGTGCGGCGGACAGACAAGCAGGCAGACAGACGTACAGACGGGTAGAAAAGCAGATATACAGACACGCATGCAGACAAAAAAGTGGGTAGGGTGGGACATACAGATAAACAAACTTGCAGACAGAGAAACAGACAGGTAGGTAGGGGGAAGCAGACAAGGCGGTAGACAGGCAGATATACATAAAGAGAGACATGTAGGTAGGAAAAATGTGCAAATGCGTAAGGATTAACTTACAATCAGTATTAAAAAAAAAACAAGAATTAGTGCTGCTGTTATCAAGACTGAACTAAGGTGTGTGTGTGTTTTGTAGTCCATACATAAACAAGAAACGAGATCACAGAATCCTACCTTGATCAAACTGGTTTCCTGTGCGATTCCTCGATTCGACCTGCAGTCTGGTGTGGTGAACTGACGCGTGCGAAAGCTAAAGTGGCGGCAGGCTACTGTTAAAGCGAACGGAAAACCGTTTCGCATCATGAATATGAATGAGGCTGGTGACTGTGCAGATTTATTTCCCCCCGCAAAGCCGGCCTCGTCATTGCGGGGAGAAGCCTACTTATATTTGTATTCCTTGGAAGGCGAGCTAGAACAAGCAAGTGTCACCAACGAGCCGGATATATCCCAGGAATGTTTGCAAATTCGGCTGTAAACTAAAACTAAATTACTTCCGTCATCTCAAATGCCATAATGGTTTGGAGAGAACAGAAACAGAGGGAATTGGTTCTGGAAAAATCTTCGCGTGGTTTCGTGGGCCCAGGACGGGATTTAGATATGACGAGGCCCTAAGATATTTAAACCATGAGGCCCCTTCTTCTTCAGCATTCCAAGCCACTGAGGTTCATTGCCGCAGATATCACTCGCCTCCATTCATCTGTCTGGTTGGCCTTCTCTTTCCAGTTGGTGACACCAAGTGTTTGCAGGTCTGTATGGACATTATCTCTCCATCGTCTTCTTGGTCTGCCTCTTGGTCTACAATCAGTCTCATGATGCCAGTCATTTAAACAGATTACGAATTTCGTTGTTGCTTCTCATTCTCCATTTCCCGCTGTTTGCATCTGTGATGGGTCCAGTCGTAAGACTGTTTTCGAAAACCTGTAACAATGCTTCTTCTCTTTTAGTTGTACCCCAATTTTCGGAGCCAAATAAAACGATTGGTCTTATCAACGTTTGATATATTTTGATCTTGGTGTTGCGAGACAGGCACTTGACTTTAGCAGATGTTAAAGGGTCCCTACCATTTTAAATTACACCAGTTGAACTCAGAAAACCTTACAATGTATCATCATCATCATCATTATGAACCACTTCTGCCGTTAAGCGCCGTGGGGAGGAATAATTTGCGATCCAGTGCACGTTGGCTGCCACTGGCTATTGTCATGCCGTGAAGGCGTAGAGTGTCTTTAATGTTGTCGATCCATATTTTCCGCGGCCGTCCTCTTGCTCTTGTAGTTGATCTTCTGAGATGTAGTGCTTGTGATGGTATTTGATCTTGCTGCATTCTAACGAGATAGCCAAACCACTTGATCTGCTGTTTCTTGATGAATCTAGTACAAGGTGTTGTTCCCACAATTTTCCTGATAGTTTCATTATTCACTCGATCTCGGATGGTTAGGTTACAATGTATACTCCTTTAAATATAAGGATAATAGAAATATATTGTCGTGACAATCGGTAGGTAGACCAAACAATTTCTTGAGGTCTCAGAGATGTGGTTTTACTGAAGAATGCTTAAAATACCTTGAACAGCTAAAAAGAGCAGCCAAGAGGTTTTGAAGAAAACGGGAGCCCGAAGACAGCTTAGCACAGACACCAGAAGGAGACAGTCATCATTTTTCGGCCATGTTATGCGAAGAGGGAAAATGGAACATGTTGTGACCACTAAAAAGATATGGGGAAGGAGGGATAGAGAAAGACAATGAGAGAAGATTCTTGACAGTCTTGTTGCAAGGTATGGAGGTGAGTCAGCACACAAACTAACACATGCTGCAGCAGATCGCAGATTGTGGAGACGCATTATCGCTCTAGGTGGTCGGTGAGGCATATGATGAAGATGGTTGTCGTTGGATTTTTAGTAACAGAAATAATATAGAATGTGTTTGCAAAATCCCACAAATTATATAAACATCTACAAGCTGTATTAAAAAGAAGTGTGTACTTTAAATATGTCAAAAGAAAATAACATTCGTGGGAAATTTGTTTTTTAAGGCCCCTGCATTTCGCGAGGCCCTAACCTGCAGCTTATTTAAGCAAAGGGTCCCTTTCTACGCCTTTGGGCATATTGTAGATATAGGGCTAGACCATTGACACTGATGTGATGTGATCAGCACTACGCCAGTCACCCTTACTTCCTAGGATTTGACCTGGTTCTCACTCAAGGCTGGGTCGACCTGGGTGAAGCTTATGCCAGAATCCAGCACTGTATGGGTCCCATTCTATGTGTGTGTGTGTGGGGGGGGGGGGGGGAGATATTGTAATCATTGCTTCCAACAAGAATTTCGTAAATTTCGACAAATGGGGTTTGCTGATCTTGGATGTTTTAGGCCAAAATTTGTCGATACTCTAGCTTAGCTGTAAACTATAACACAACGTACCAACATCCCCTTAGGAATGTTGAATTTTGAATTAAGAATAGACATCATAGCATCCTGGGCACTCTCATAAGCACTCTGTCCACAACTTCAGTCGCAAGCGAAGAGTTCCATTTCCGATGGTACTAGTGATTGATTTCCCTTGAGCGTCGCCCAGATCCCATGGCAACTCCTCGCAGCGCCATTCTTCTCAGACCGCAATGATCTATTTGCGCCTCCGCGCTGTTCACTCGCTCCCAAAGGGCCCTCAAAGCATCTAGCTTGCCATACATCAATTCACCACCAA